AAGAGGGAGAGAGAGAGAGAGAGAGAGAGAGAGAGAGAGAAATAGAGAGAGATAGATACAGAAAGAAAGGGAGAAGAAAAAAGGATCACCGAGGATCTCGTGAGCGTATTTTTAGTGATATATAATCGCGTATTTTCTTCCCTTAAGTGCTTTAAAAACTCAATTGTATATCGTATCGTGTATAAACGTTGCTATAAAAGCGACTCATAATTAGAATCAATGAGAATGAATGCGATACGAAAAGGAACACTATCAATCAATTCGCTAATATTGGTTCGTAGAATTATTTTTTTAATTATTTTTTATATACCCCGTTTTTATTTCGTTTTCCAAAAAAAATGGGAAATAAAATAAAATTTACTTGATTTTAATTTTCGAAAAATTAAAAGATTATTGAGAAATATAATTACAATTTATCTAAGAAAAAATTATTTTTAGTCTAGCTGGTATTAGCGAATGTCTCAAGATAAATAGATATCGACATGATCCAGGAAAATCCGCAAGATCGTGATAAAATTCAGAACGATTACAATACGTGCGCGCGCGCGTGTGTGTGCGTGTGTGTACGCGCGAATAAGATTAAATATTCACGAAAATGTTTTCCTGTGATAAATATATTTCGAAAAAAAATTTAGCCAGTCTGACGACACGATAACTGATTTTGCGGATCTAAAAAAACCTGTTAACGCAAGTAAAAAGAAAGATTGAAAGAAGGAAAGGTAAAGAGCCGCATTTAACACATAAAAATGTCATCGAAGTTTCTTCTCCTTTTTTTTTAATTTTGAAAATAATATTTTGCGTTTGTTCAGCGTGAAATCAATTAATTCAGGATCAAATTTAATCCGCTCTAATTCTTAAATTGTTTGTTTGCAAAATCTGAAATTAACATGGAATCAAACTAGACAAGTTTAAAAATCAAGTTTGAAATCATCTGATTTTATATTTCATAATAAGTGAATAGAAAATATAATATCAAACATATGTGATATGTAAATGCGGCTCAGAAAGAGAATACATAAATGTATCGATACATATATGATACTTGAAAGAGGTAAAGAGAGAAAGATATAAAGAGAAAGTGAGATAGAGAGAAAGAGAGAGAAATGAACGAAAGAAGAAAAAGAAGACGCAGAATGTGCATGTATAATGTGTGCTACTTAATACACACGTATAGAGAACGTCGTATATGTATGAAAGGATAATAATAGAACTCTTTTAATCTTCATAGACTTTCTAATATAAAGGGATGATGACCAAGCTCGTAAACGATAAATTAATGAATCGTATAATCCGATATAAATATGGACGTAATTACTGTTTTTAAAAGTGCTAATTTAAACATAAACATGAGAATTTTAAGACGAAACCGATTAAATTATAATTATATAATAATAATATAAATAATGCTAATAACGATACCGATTGCAGTCATAAAAATAAATATAATAATAACAATAGTAATAATATCAGGATAAGAATAATAATAAGGATAAGATTAATTATTCTGCGACTCGTCTGATAGCATTCAACGGCAGGCGATAACAAAAGAATCTCCTTCGGAACATGGCAAGACGTATAATCGCGTGCGAGAGATAATTATTATCTAATGTCATTAAATATGATACTAGAAGTGAGCATAGATAGAGCAAAATTTAAAAAAATATTAAAATAATAGTGTTGATAGTACAGTATCCAAATTTATCTCGACGTGACTCTGCAATCTTTGAAGGTATCGCGTGATCGACAAAACGACGAAGCTTCGTTTTGTTTGTTATTTAATTATACAGAAAAGAGGAAAACTAGAAATATTTATTTGTTACAATAAAGAGAGAAAAGGTTTATATAAAAAATACAAAATTAGTTTGATATTTTTTATAATTGTGCTAAGTATCACTGACACCAATTTTCATATACTGCAAACTATATATTTTAATAGACGCTTCATAAATTTAAAAAAGCGATTAATTAGTTTAACTTTCAAATTACTGTAAAATAATTGATTAAATTTATTAATTGTTGCTCACTATGAACAAAGATAAATCCTACAGAAAGCCTTATAAAAATCCAGATTACTTTTTTCAAATATCTTTTTCGAATTATGAAAACTGGAAATAATAATTGTTACTTTATATTCTTTTTAGTCCCAAGTTATAACTTTTTAGATACTTCATGTAAATTCTGTATGTAGAATATTGCACTTAAATGATCACGTAAATCTCACGGTATGTTATTGAATCGCGATCATACGAGCCTTTAATGACTTCGACGTACCGTCAGGCTCCAAGTGATATTAAAATGAAATAATAACGAAAATAGGTAGGAATCGAGATACGACAGCGCAGAAAGTTCTCTGAACGACATCTAAACGCGTGGAATCTGTAGAGAAAAGAATAAAAAGTAAGGAACCCAAATGCGAACGCAATGGAATGAGCGAAAGTCGAAACGATACTTTGAAGAATTTTATTGATCACCGCCGACAAAAGACACGTGCGCGTTCTGTATGTGTACTATATAAATACGTATACATAAATTATGAATGAAGTACATGGAACACGTACAGAAGAAGACGCATACCAACACATATATACATATATAGAGTGAGGTGCTTGCGGGAAGCTCACAAAAACAGGTAAACAGCACATCCGGTATCTGCCTCAGGACGGTGCATCCATCCATCCGGTGTGGATCCATCCGGTGCACGCTACGAAAGAGAAACGGAAATAGAGAAAGTCTGTCGGGGCTTACAGGGGAAACAAACAGAACACAAAAATAACTCGCGTCAGATAGTGAGAGAGAGATTTATGGGATTGTTGTTCGACCGATATACATAGTACTATAAAAGACGAGCATATGAATTCAGCACGTATAACTTCACTTACTTGTATCTATAATGCTAAGGTACAACCGCGATGGAATAGGAACTTAATAAAACGCGAGATTTTCTCGGGCGAATGAAGAATGAAGTCAGAAAAAGAATAAAAAAGAAAAATTATCGTTAAGTTTTTTTTACTTATCTCTATATATATAAATATATAAATATATGACATATATAGATACATGGTGCGTCTAGTATATGCATATATAAATATGTACACGTAAAGGGTACACACACGCCCGTACATGTTATTCATTTACATAAACTTTAAATTTGGTATGAACAAACGTTAAAAGCGTATAGTGTGAGATATTTAACGCCCTGTTGATAATAAATAATTATATATGTATAAATATAGCAGAGAAAAAGATGCGGAGGAGAAAGAGGAGAGGCGAATGTGAAGGAAAGAAATTTTGTCATTAGAATCTCTCGGCGTGTTGGCGCTGGGACTCCGTAGAGTTTCATACTTTTGCAAATAATCGAAAAATCCTGTCGATAACACTATATAAATATAAATATAAATATCTATACAAATACATATTATGCCGATCTCTATACATATTATAAATATATATCTGAGAGGTTTAAACTCGTTGATCTGAGTCTGAATCTAATTAAGTCATGTGTAACCGCGATACGAACGTGATTATTCTGATTAGTGAATTGAAGTGCAGAAGACGGAATCGTTGCAGAATATCAATTTCTTTCGGTCGAAGTGCTTTCGCGTTTCTGGTACACGCGCGTACACAAGTATCGTTATATTTGTTTTTGAAATTTGAAGATGCGAAAAAACTAAGATCAGAATAAGAAAAATTTATAATTTCGATATGAAACCAGTCATGATAAACATCAAAGTACA